GGGCCACTAGCTTGTGCGGGCCACTAACTTGTGGATTACGTTACTCTATATTCTGTTAGTAAGTATCTAGGTAAAAGTAGGCGGACTTATATTTCCTATAGTAGTACCTATTTACCCCTATTTTTTAGCTTTATTATATAATCTACTTTCCTAATTAAACTCCCTAGATTAAAGCTTATTCTTATAGCTCTACTTTAACTTTTACTACGCTCTTTAATACTATTATAATTTATAAAAATATAATATAATAGATTATTATTAACTATAGCTACTAGTAAACTAACGCAGGTTCTAGTTTAAGTTATATATAAAAGGTTAAGAATGCCTTTTACGGTACTATATACCTGTTTTAAAACTGCTTTAATATTTTCGGGCGGATAAAGGCTATTAGCAAAGTATAATACTAATAGACTTAGAAAACAGGTAAGAAAAAAGATGTTTAAAACTTTCTATAGTTAAAATGCTAGCTTTACCAGCCTTTTAAAAGCCTTAGTTATATTATTAATAAACCGGCCGTTAATATATATATCTATAATAGTTAGTACTTCTAGAATAGTTAGTATAGGCTCTTTAAGTAGGTAAAATAGCTTACTAGAACTAACTCTAAAGGCGACCTTAATAAACTTTATAAATAGGATTAGTAAGCTAATATAGCCCTATATTTACTTTATTAGTTTTAGGGGTATTATACTTTATATACTGCCGCTGTTAATATAGAGAACCTTTACCCTAGCTATAGAAAAATGCACCTTTATAACTACCTTTTTAGGTATTTTTACTCTATAAAGGAAGTATTTATAAACTTTAAAAATCTAAGGATTATTTATATAGTATTTCCTAAAAACTAATATATAGTTTTTATAGATAGTATATCTATAATATAAGCTATACTAAGCTCTCTAACGCAAATAGAAGAAGTAAGTGCTACTACTTTAGATATAGTACTAACAGCTTTTAAAGCGCTTAAGGTTACTATAGTAAATATTAGATGCAGCGGTGGATTAATAGACTAATTAATTAAAATATTACTAGAGGTGTTTTTTAATTATACTAATAAAACCGCTTTATAGGATTATATCTTTAGACCCTTTAAAAGCTATTACTTTACTTTTAGCTATTTTAAAGAAATTATCCTTATAGAAGACTTTAAACACCTTTATAGGCTTAAAAACTAGACCCTAATTAGCCTTCTAGGTTATAGAAAAAAAGCAGACTTATAATATATATTAGGAGAATAGCTGTTTAGGAAAAAGCTAGATATAATAACAGGAGCTGTAAACTCTATTAGCTCGCCCGGATACTAGATATATTTAAGGAAATTTAAGATATACTTATCTAGGTCTAAGGCTATAGGGTTATAGGCTCTAGAAGCTTTAATAAAGTTAAAAGGCTCTCTAGTAGTGCCTATAAAGTGCTCGCCTGCGCACTTAGGAAATATAGTAAAATAAGCCGCTAAGAATAATAATTAAGCACCTTTTTAACTTTTCTATACTTAATTTAAGCTATCTATAAAACACTCCTTAAGAAGCTTATAGCAGGTATTAACTAATATAGAGCTATTTAGGAAAAAAGCAATTATATTAATTGCTAAGATCCGGTCTAATAGATTCCTTATTATTTCCTCCCTTAGTAGCTATAGAAAGGCCTTTTTAGCCTTCTTTTTAGTTTCCGCTCTTACGGGGATTTTCTTAGTTATAATAACTACCTTTAGATATATACTTATTAGAAGTATTAATAATTAGTTTTACTTTAGCTATATAGCTAAATAGCGTATAACCTGCCTAAAGCCGCCTAGATTATTAGAAAAAAAGTAAAATATATCGGCGAATAGAAAGAAAAAGCGGGTATAGACGCTGCTCGCAATTTTATATAGGCTAAACTTATTACTTAGTTTTTAGATAATTTGCTGTATTATACTATAGCACTTTTTAATTAGAACCGGCCTACTTAAAGTTTTTAAAGAAAGATTACTATTTATAATAAAAACTAGTCTTTTATAGAAAATGCTAGAAGGGTCTATATATAGATATATTCCGCCTTAAGTTTGCTTTATAGTAAACTATTAAGATCTTTTTATACTAAACAGTTTTTAAAGCGCAACTAATTTTACTGTATTACTAATTAGTATAAAAAAACTAGGATTCTAGGTATTAGGGTTAGAGATATAGTTTATAATAGAAAAAAACACGATATAATTAACTCTATAGCATCTTAGAAATACAACTTAAGAAGGGCCTTTAGGGGCTATCTAAGGCCCTGCGAATAATTATACGCAGCCTTAAAGCCCTATAAGTAGTGCCGGCGGCGTTACAGTAGGTACACCGCGAATTGCGACCCCTAACGCGCAGCCGCCCCAGTAATAGTATTAATAATAATAATAACAATAATAATAATAATAATAATAACGCTAAAACTAATACTAAAACCCGAAGCTTATTAAGAACGTCTACTAGGACGTCTAAGACCTTATTAATAAAGCACACGGTATATAAAACCTCCTATAGAATAAGCTAATCTAATTTCTTAAAATAAATGCGATCGTCTAAACCCTCTATAACTTTACAGAATGTATTCTATTCGGCCTCTCGGATACCGTAATCGACCTACGGCAGATACTATAGAAAAAGCTAATAAAGATAATAGAGGACACGAAAAAGGAGGTACACGCGTTGTTAACGCATAGGAAGACGTATACTGCAGTAGCAGCAGCAGCAGCAGCAGTAGCAGGCACAATACTATTAGCTATGCTAAGCGGTATAGCTGCGTAATACAGGAAGGCAGCAGGAAATAGGCAGTATACAGGGCAACCTATAAATATCTATAAAATTACTATTTATATTAAGGATAATAACGAGCGAACTATAACCGTAGCAGATATAAATATAACTATTACCTAGAAGCTTTAAGCAGCCGGACCACCGGATATAATAAAGATTAGCAGTATAAGAAAGCTATAGAGTAGAAACGTTAAGGTATATATCGCGGATAAGGCTATAAAGGAAGCACTGCTTAAGAAAAGGGAATAGGTGCAGGTGCTGGGCAAGACGGTATATATATAACTGCCCGCAGTGCTAATAGAGGTGTATAGAGTACCTAAGAACTCGGACCTAGAAAGCTAAATACTTAAAAATAATATTATTAGGGCCAACGCGATAATTAACCTAGGCCTAGTTATTAAGAAAATAATATAGAAGAATAAAAAGGGTATAAAAGCTGCGCAAGAGAACCCAGGCCGACACGCTAGCTTAATTATTGCTAGTATATACACGGAAGTAATAGCAGATAAAGCTATTATAAAGGGATTTATAATAAGTAAATAATTGCTAATAGCCTTAAGATATAAAGCAGGCTTTATAGCTATATAGTGCTTTAGATACCAGGGCTATAGGTATATTATAAAACACTGTAAAAAGAATATCCGATATATAGTATGCGCAGGGGAATATAATATAAAATAATACACGGTAATAGATACTAAAAAGTGCGCTAACTATAAAAGAAACCACCCGGTATATAGTACTAAATATAGCGTAAGAAAAGGGGCCTAGCTACGGGCTATATTAAAGAGGTAGGCGACGCTATACTAATATAATACTAATAAGGGGCCGAGCTTATACACGCCCTAGGCCCTGCTAGAAGTATATATAACCTTAACCTAGTTTAGGAAAAAAAAAGCTGCTAATAATAACGCACGCGAAGGCAGTATAGAACTAGGGCCAGCGCTAATAGTACTAAAAAAAGTAGGATAACTAAAGATATTTAAGCATCCTAATAAGAACCTAAGCTAGCCGAAAATTAATAGAATAATACAGACTGCTCGTTTAACGCAGCAATCTTCCTATCTAACGCTTTTTTAGATACTATATACTTCTTACTTTATATTGCTATCTTTATAGCCTCTAACCTAGTTAACTTAATTAATAATATACGGAGATATAAATAGACTTTTATAACTTAAAACTATTACCTAAGTGCTATCCTTATAGGAAAATAATATAAGCTAGCAACTACGCGCCGAAATAGGTGTAGTAAACGCCGCAGATACTATAAATATAGTTTAATATTAGAATAACCTAGTATACTTACTATTATACAGTATAATATTAATAAGAGCCGCAAGACCTAAAGGGAGTTCCTAGAAAAAGCGGAGAGAGCCTAGCCTTAACCGCTAGTGCTAGTAATATAAAAGCTGTAGAAGAATATATAGTAATAAAAATATATAATACTCTATATAAAGTTCTATTACCTTTTATATAGAGGAAGCCTATATATAAAAACGTGTATATATATTAATAAAAACCTTAATATTAACTAGTAGTTAGTAGAGTACTACTTATTAGACCTTATTACCCTCTCTTTCTATACTAGTAGAAAGGATATCTAAATTTATAATATCTACAACCCGAAACTAAACGGAATTATAGCTATACTACCTCTACTACTAAATAATAATAATATAAAGCATGTTTTTATAGGTAATATAAACCTATATTACCTATTATAGGGAGGAATATAAGTAATAAACACGGAGAAGTAAGCAGAGGAGCTTATCCGTATTATAATAGAAGCAGGAATAGACCTAGCTATAGAGAAAGGTATAGAAATATAGGTAAAAGGAATATTATAGTCTATAATTAACCTTATATTTATAATAGAATAGCTAATAGAATAAACTACTTCCTGTATAGTATAAGAGGAATAGAACTGCGATTTAGATTACCGCCTTATATATATAGAGTTCGATATCACCCTACTAAGCGCAGTAAAATAGCTATAATATCGGCTGTAGAAGAATACTAACTAAAAAAAGGCGCAGGAGCACCTCTAAACCTAGTTAAATAAGCTAGATAACTAGAACAACTTTTAAAACACGGAGGAAGACCTTAATAAATTCGCACGCCTTCTCTATAAATATATATAGGCTACAATCGCTGCTATAGTACCTATTATAAGGCTATTAAAACAGGCATCGCCGGTATAGTTAGAAGAATGCTTAGAGGAAGTATATAAAACTAGGAGGGCGTATAGAATATAGCGCTTGTCGCGATTTATAAAGGACTAGATATTATACTATATCTAGTATAACTATAAAAAGAAAACTATATAAAAGAAGAGTACTAAAGTATAGCGCTATATAGTAGAAAAAGTAATAAAAAACCTAAAAAGTATATAAAAGCTGGCTAATTAGGGCTATATAGCTAGTAAGGAATTAAAACCTCCGCCTTAATTTCCTTTTTTTTTAAGACCTAAGAACCCTACTCTATATATAGATAATAAAATAAAAGTATATATACTAGCAGAGTAGTTCTTTCCGCCTCCGGCTAATATAGACTTATCCGACCTAAAAGGGTTCTAATACCCGGAACTATATAATACTACGCTAGATGTTATAATTAAGGATATTCTTTTAGCGCTAATAAAAACTGCCCTAGATAAAGCCCTAGGTATTATAGGGATTACTAATAGGTTTTTTAAGAAGTGCGAAACGCAGCTAGCGCCTATACTAGCTTAGTTTTTTATAAGGTGCCTATATAAAAGATACTATTCTTAGCCGTTTAAAAATTCTATTATAGTAGTACTATATAAGCCCTAAAAAGCGTTCTATATAATAGTAAAAGCCTATAGGCTAATCGCCCTACTAGAAATAATAGGTAAGCTATTTAAATAAATTATAGCTATGCGGCTATCGAAAATTACGGAAGAAAAAAATATACTTTTACTTAGTTAAATAGGAGTATAACTAAAACGTTTAATATAGACAGCACTTAAGCTTTTTACTAAATAAATCTACGCTATATAGAAAGGAAATCTATAGCTTATAGTATTACTTTTTAGCCTAGATATATTAGGGGCGTTCGACCGTGTATTATATAAATATATAATATATAACCTATAAATTTAATAAGTGCCGGAGTAGATAGTTAGGTTTATAAGGTTCTTTCTATAAAACCGCACTATAAGGCTTACTATCGGAAACTTTATAGCGGAACCTATTATAGTTACTATAGGAATACTATAGGGCTCCTTTCTATTACTAATACTTTTCCTTTTTTTTGCTAGCACGCTTCTACTAATACTATAGCGCAGTAATATAACGGCCTATAGGTTTATTAATAATATAAATATCCTTATATATAGCAAAAGTATAGAAGAAAACTACAGGGCTATTAAACGGGCGCACAACTAGTATATAGAGTAGGTAAGAAAGTATAAAGCAGTTTTTGCGCTAGATAAATACTATCTAATATACTTTATAAGAGCCTATAAGTCTATTAATATAAAAGCTATAGTTAATATATAGGCCTTTACTAAAGGCCCTATAATAAACCTAAAAATACTAGGGGTCTAGGTAGATTCTAAACTTAAATAGGGCCTGTATATTAACACTATAAAGAATAAAGCTATAGCCTAGATAGGGGCCCTTATAAGGCTTACGGCGTTAACCTAGAGCGCAAGCTTCTAGAAGGCACGCATAATATACTTAGCGGTTATTAGGCTTGCTATTATATATAGATATACCTCCTAGTATACTATACTAGGTATAAAAGAGCAGATTAGCAAAATAAAAATTAAGCAGCTTAAAATAGTATAGAACTAGTGCCTTTATACTATTTTAGGGGCATATAAGATAATAAATATTAGGGTAATAGAGTATAAAATATTATGCCCTCTACTCCGGCTAAAGCTAGAGGAACTTACAGTGGCCTACGCGGACCGCATACGTAAGGGGCCAGCCCGCGAGCATATTAAAACCTAATGCAGCCGTATAAAAGAAACGGTCCGTGCTAAATACAGGCCGAAAGGAATACTATAGTACGGCCTAAGCAGGCGCAATAAACTTCGTAAGCTTGCGGCGAAGGTATTACAGCTAGCCGCATAATATAAAGGCGAATCGGAAGAATCCTATAGGCGCACGAGGCGTGGCATAATCCAGGATAAATACGAAGAGAAGTGGAAGAAGAAATAGGAAGCCTACCGTAAAAAACTACGCTAAGGACCTCTAACACCAGCACTTAATACTAAATAGAGTAAACGATAAGAGGCACTATATAAAGAACTTACGAAGGTAGAAAGCATAATTATTATAAACCTACGGACAGAGTATATAGGGCTTAACGGTTACCTCTACTATATAAGAGTGCCCGGCCACCCGACACCGGTATGCCCTTACGGGCATAGCCTCTAATCCCTAAGATATATTATAATAAGTTGCGGAAGATATATTAAGGGCAGGGGCGAGCTGTTCTAGAAGGCTAAAATAAGGACGTATAAACAGCTCTACAGAAGCCAGAAAAAAAGAAAGGCTGTAGCCTAATAGCTCCTCTAAAGAACGGACCTCCTACTATACCTTTTAGTAGCTAAAGAAATAGCAGAGGCGGAGATATAGGTATTCTACCTTCTACAACTTTATATAACTATATATACTACGCATACTATATATACTATATATACTGCGTATACTATATATACTACGTATACTATATATACTATATATACTACGTATACTATATATACTATATATACTACGTATACTATATATACTATATATACTATATATACTACGTATACTATATATACTGCGTATACTATATATACTATATATACTATATATACTACGTATACTACGCATACTACGCCGCCTATATCACGCACCTACCTAATAGCTATATCTACCTGTATACCGCAGCTTTTATATATATAGCAGCCTATACAGCACTACCCCTATATATATTATTTAATTTAAGGACTAACGCCTTAATAAAGAGCACGCGTGCGAAACAACAGCACGCGTGCCCTTACGCTAATCCTAAACTAGCTTACTACTCCGGAACTAACTTAACCTGCGCCTAGGAGGACAACTGCAAAACCCGGATAGATTTAGGAAAACGCATCACGATAGCTTATTCCGTGGTAGACTTAATAGATCTACTACGTGTCCCTAATAGCTATATAATAACAAGAAGAGCGCTTAGCGCTATATACCGCAGAGGACGGGGTTTTTATCCGAACGCTGTATAGCAGCAAACGGTTTCTCCTTATAAACTAGCCTAGATAGAACAGCTATATAAACCCTAATAGGAGCTATACTAGCGTAATAGAATTTAATAATAATAAAATAATATAGTTTGCAATAATTTAAGGCCTATCTAATATAAGTAAGCAGGTTTTATTACCTTAAGAGCAAAGGCTAAGCTAATTAGTATAGTTGCAATACTTTATAATAAAAAGATAACTAACTATTTTATAATAGAATATACTAAGTTATATAGGAAAAAGGTACTATATCTAGGCCTAATCCTTAAATTAGGTCCTTTAAACGCACTTATATTTATTCTAATTTTAGTATAAAAAGACCAACTTCGGGCCTTTTTAAGAAGGCCTTAAATTAGGATTTTAGAACCTTAAGCACGCTATAGCTCTGCTAGATGCTAAAAATATTAAAGTTACTAATATTTTCTTCTTAGGTTTATATATTAAGTTATTTACTGCTAGAATAAAAAGTGTAAACTATTTTTACGTATCCTATTATAAAGAGTATATCTATACTTCTTGCTAATTTTTATAATAACCCGGTTCTAGATTATTTCTATAAATAAAATAAGGTAAGAAGTATAATAAGTATAAGGGTATAAAGCTTCTTAAGGCTTACCTCCCCTATTTTTAAAAGAATTGGAATTATTCCCTTTATAGCAGGCATTAGTTATTAATAGCTCGACTAGATAGTATATAGGATTAACTAATTTACTTAAGGCCGAAATATGCAGAGTTTAAAAGTCTGCTAGTAGATTTTTCCAGCCCTAATACCCTTATTATTAAGATTAATTACTACTACTATAGCAATCCTACTAAAGTATCTTTGCTAGCTACTATTACTAAGCTTTCTAAAGAAAGTTCTATAGGTAATTAAGTAGAACTGCCTAGTAATTTTATATACTATTTAAATATTTAGTAGTATATATCCGGTTAGCTCCCTACTATACTTAAAAAGAAGCCGCTTTTAGTAAATACTACTACTAAGCTATTATATAGTATTAGGAAAGAAAGTATAGGCAAAAGAAACTAGTAGACTATTATTATAATTTAAGCTTCTTAGGTCTATTTAGGGCTATTTATTTATAAGTAAATAAGTATATTACTAAATATAGAAACCGTAATAGTAAAAGCTACTACTATTACTATTGCATATCTTTCTAACAACTTTAATCTTACTATACTTTTTAGACTTAGCTAGATAAAAATTAACTCTAGAAATAACTATATAGAAGCTTATATAAAAAGCGTAAAAAATTAAAGCGGAAAGAAATCGGGCTAAAAAAAAATATAGAGAAGAGGATAAAGATTACAGGTCCGGATTATTAGCTCTAGACTAAATAAAGAGAAATAATAAAACTTAAAAATATAATATTAATAAAAGATATAGTAAATTAGATTTACCGCTTACTTTTTATTTCTAACTCCCTTGCGTTCCTTTTTAAAGATAGTTAAATCAAACTTTAGCAGGTCTAGAAATTCTAGGCTAATAATATATTTTAGTAAGGCAAATCTCTTCTCTTTAAAATCTTCGTTTTCTAATAGACTATTATTTCTCGGCTTCTTTAACTTCTTTTTTACTTCTTCCAGCCTTTTCTTAATATGCTCGGGATACTTTAATTTAGTTTTAGAATACGTTATCTATTCTAATTAGCAAGGCTTACTATAGTAGGTACGGTGCTATAATTACTAAACTATCTATATTCTAAAGCTAGGGCAACTAAGCCTTTAATATATATATATAGGCATCTTTCCTTTTTATATAATAGATAAATAAAGCTAGCTCTACTTTATCTAGCTCCCCGTACTTATAGGACTTGCCCGAAAGACCTTCCTTTTATTTTTTTAGTTTCTTATTATAAAGTTTAACAGTTATTTTCTATCCTGCTATTATTATGCTTAATAATATAAATATAGGGAGAAGCGGGATATTTATACTAATCTTCTAGAAATAACAGCAACTGCGCCCTACTACCTTTACTATCTTACTTCCCTATTTAGGGTATATTAGCGGCAACTATTCTAAGGCTCTAATCCTAAACTTATAGTTAGATATAAGCAAATATATAGCTAACTAGTCTAAGTTAGGCAGAAATACGCTTCTATTGCGTGTGTAAATATATCTTTATAAAGTACTACTATAGCTATTACTTAGTATATCTATACTAATATCTAGTAGTAATACCTATTATTTTATAATAGCACCTATTAGCTCCCTAGTCTGTTTTCTTATACCTATACAGTACTTATTAGGGATAATATACAGGCTCGGGCTAAATTCCTAATTTCTAGCCCTACCGAAAAATAAGTACTAAATAGCTTATTACAGCTACCTTACACCTGTATTAGACCCTAGGTTTAAGGCGTAGGTTTTCCTAGAAGCTCTACTTTCTATATAACCCTAAATCTATAAGGCTTTATATCTAATAATAGGAATAGAGGGCTAGCCTTATTTACAGCCTTTAGATTAATACACCTCCGGGTAAAATATATAGAAGGATAACCTACTATTTAAAGCATATTAATAAAGGCCTAAATATCTACTTCTACTATTTATCTGCAGGTTATAATATAAAGAGATAGATGTTTAGATAAGGGAAAATTTAGAAAAGGCTTAAGCGTTTTACTTTACTTTTCTAGGGGGCTATATTTATATAGCTGTTTTAAGCAGGGTAAATATTAGGCTGTTAGATTATTTATACTCTTAGATATAATTAGTATTAGATACTAAATATAACTAGGGTTTAGGATAAAGCCTGGCTTTAAAGCCCTACGCTAAGCACTATATACTTTTCCTAAACCTACTTTACCCCTACTTACCCTACTCCGCCTATACTAAACTATATAGCTAGGACGAACTATAAATAGTATTATAGTAACTACCTATAATACTTTACTTACTATAATTCGCCGATTATATATCTAGTCTAGCTCCTAGTCTAGATTATATCCTAGAACGTAGCCTAGATCACGTAACCTAGTCTAGGTCGTAGTCTAGGTTATATACTAGATCACGTAGCGTCGTCACCTGATCTCGCATGGAGCTCGCGAGCTTATGCCATACGCACGTTCCGCCGGCATATCTTCTTCGCCGGCGCTCTCGATTTCCTATTCCTTACACAACGTCTTGATTCCCCACGTAGTAACGTGTTTAGCATCTAATTAAAGCTTCTTTCTAAGCTCTTAAACTCCTGCTTATAGCACTATCGTGACAAATAGATAGCATATTATAGAATTTCCTTAAGAAGTTCTTAACGGATAACTATTAACGCTAAAAGCTTACTAATTTTAATATGCAAGTAAGTGGTAATATATAATTATAGCCACGTAATAGTAGCACCTACAGTAAGCAACTAAGTGCTAATTTAGCCCTGGACTACTAAGCCGGATTTTTTATTAGACTATTTAAGAACCAAGAGATTTAAAAGCAACTTACAGCAGCTAGATATTTAAGAGCATGGCCAGTGCACTATAAAATGGCGAGAAAAATGAGAGCTTTAATTAACTGGCTAAATAGCTTATAATCTGCTTATTCTATTAAGACATAAATGAGTGTATATTATTTATCTTCTCCTACAACGTCGTCCTCAGGTTCCGCGTTCAATCTTTGAAAGTTGTCAAGTGCCTGTTAAAGGGATGCAACAACGAGCCTGACTTCTTCCAAGAGATACATGCTAGCACTATGCTTTCTCTGTTGATATGCTAACTCTTGTCTGAGCTGGCCGTTCTCCCATGTTCTCTGTTCGATTAACTGTGATAGACTGGGAGTCGGCATCTTCTTGGCCGCTTGCATTTTCGCTTGCGTTGCTTCGATTGCTACGGACGACCCTTGATTACGATCAATCTCAGTATCAATTGCTGTTAGTGCTGGCGGTCTATCGGAACTCAGGAGTAACCGATGTTTTGTTCGCTTGTTCTTAAGCATAATGAAAGTTGAGCGATCATAGCAGCTCAGCCTCAGTCAAACTGAAAGAGGCATGCTGGCCACCCACGCGATCGAACCTAGGGCACCGTCTGACGGGCGTTGTAATAGAGGATATGATAATTTGTTCTCTTCGTCTGCAGAAGTCAGGCTTCAAGAACGCTCCCGCAGAAAGACTGAGTCTTGGCTCGGTTTTACGCTAGGTCAGTTCGCATCTGCACGTTCTCTTAGTCCACCCGCCAGGCCGCCCCGCCTCCGCCCCCAGGACTCCCATGCCCTGTGGAGATGCACAAATCCCCGGCCCTCCTTGTGCACTTCCGGTAAGGATGCATGTCGTCGCGACCAGACCATGTAGAACACCTGAAACGGTTGTATTAAGGTATCAAGCGCAAATCTCAGTTAGAAATTTCCCAGAGGTCAGTTAGAAAGCTGATCGATTCCAATGCACCTTCCGTCTAGAGAAGGCCAGAAGGCCGAAAGGCGGAGAAATAATAATAAGGACAAAGCTGAAGAATGGCATGATGCATCATCCATCCAGAGAAGGCTGGAAGACGGGAACCTTCGGTTAGGACAAGGCAGATTCACCGTGCCCATCCAATAACAAGAACAATTTTACGCCCCCACTCGGAAAGTCTATTTTGAGGAAGACCACAGAAGTTACATTCAGCCCCCATGCAAGGACGGCAGAAATTGAAGAGAATCAATGGCGAAATCTGTTTAGGTAGGGTTGAATTATTCTCCCTATCCAGAGATGCCATGTCCAAAGGTGTTATATTTCTTGCGCAAAACCCATTAGTTGCAAGCCTCGTGCCCTCTCCGCCGTGGCGATCGACAACGCAAAAGCTCGGGCGGTTTCCAGCAAGGTTCTGGGCGATGTGGCGCCCGACAAACACTTTTGGCGGTTCGCTGCATTAGCCGCGGCTGTCGTGCCGCAAGACCGGCAGCTGTGCCCTGTATGTGTTGAAATAGTTCTATCCTTCCGCCGCTGCGCCTCGATCTTTGTCCTCTGCATTCCCTCTCCACACATAACGTGGCCCTCTTTGCTACGCAACGAGCCCCCTTTCTTCATCCATTTCTTACCTTTTTTCATCTTCCGCAACGACAGCGTTCTACATCCCGCTCTTCAAAGCAATGGCGGGGGGTCAAGGACCAGCTTATGAGGGTATTGAGGTTATGCCTGAGAGCCGTGGTATCGAGTCTGGGGGTGCATTGCAACCAAACACGGGACAGCATGGTTATTACGTCAATCATAATGATGTACCATCACACATATCTCCCAATGGAAGGACTGCGCCATCACTTGCGCGTAGAAAGAAAACCGTCTTCTGCTTAACAACTAGAGAAGCGGGCTTTGTCCTAGTGATTCTGATGTTAGTCATTGCAGGCTCTGTTGGAGGAGGAGTTGGTGGGACCATAGCAGCCAAACATCAATCGCAGAACAAAAGGTGGGTTTCAAAATATCATAAGTTCCACTGAAAAGCACACTCACTTACCTATTGCAATAGCCCCTTGGAGACGTTAAGCTCGTCTCAGACGATATCGGTTGCAGGCACCAGCATTGAGAATTCGAGCTCGTTCCCAACAGCACTAGTCACGAAAACAAATACCGAGAGCTCAAGTATTGGAGCGACCTCAACAACCTCCTCCGCCGCAAGCGCAGAATCCATCGACGCCGCGGGCTGCCCGGCATCAAACGGAACAACATACACATCCAATGGAAGCGTATTCATTAAGCTCTGTCAAATAGACATAACTGCCACTGGGTTACAATATTATCTGCAAGAGAACGAAATCAAATCGAGCTTGGACGACTGCATCGACTTTTGTACGGCATGGAGTGAGAGCAACCCGGGCAACGAATGTTTAGCGGTTGCTTGGGATATTTATGTACCAGGATTCTCTCAAAATAATCAGCGGTGTTGGTTGAAGAATTATACCACGGTTCTAACGCCGAATGAGCGAAGTTTTCAAGTCATGGCGAGTGCAATTTTAATTTGATACCTGTTCAAACTGAGTTCAGCTCTAGCATTTCCAGCAATGAAACATCTGGAAAACAAACCAGAGTTTTGCCAAAACATTTTGTTTCTTTGAAAAGCGCAGTTGCCTTACTTGAAGGGCTGGACCTAGGCCTTGATGCTGTGAAAATGTAATACTACCTGCAAGGAAACGCGCATACGGGTACATGCGGGTACGATGACACCATATAGTTGCGGGCAGTGTGGTATCTTCTACGTTTCCTTCACTGTGCCATTATGTTGACCACAGATCTAGAAACTTAATTCAGGAGACGAGCAAATACCACACGCCAACTAGATTCACACTCGAAATACCAAGCATCCTCCGCCTCTGGCATAATTACATGCCGGCCCTGCAGATGCCCATATACGTCTCTAGTCGTTCGAGAAGGAAATTCTCAGTGCCGCACGCAGAAGAGTGCCTTGTCGCAATCTGGCTCAGACTATGGCTAGCGGAATCGTCGAAGGAGGTACCTATAAAGTCTTCTCTAGCTCGTGGTTCGTTCATTCGAAAGTCGTGCGTGTGAAACATAAGAATATACAAGTTGAAATGATGGGTATCTGGATAAGCGCCGACTTCAGAGCCGTCAGTATATGTGACAATACATCAATGACCACCCCACTCCTGACTGAGCAACAAGTTTAGTATTCTGAATCGATTAATGCTATAGATAACTATTACCGTTTCCGTACAAATATAGTGACATTTTGATCCAAGATAGCAACAATGTCCAAAATTATTACCAAGCACATGCCCTCAAGTGTACTGTGTTTTTAGAACCAGAACGCCGTCAATAATAGAAAAGCCAAGCAAAAGCTGGAGGTTAAGGAAAGAAGAACAAATTCCACTGAATCGAAGGCTTTCGCCTTTTGGACCTGGCCCTCGTGGCGCTGATAAGGACGGTGGACCGTGCCTTTGTAGGTGCCTTCGTAGGCGCCTCCGCCTGTGTCTCTGTTAAAATCTCCATAGGCTCATCGAGAACATCAGATTTTGTATGCCTCTCTTCCTCGCCAAAGTGAACTTTCGAGCGTATTGCATCTCTTGTGTCAGACTTCTCCTCCCTCTCCCGTTTCTGCACCTCCATTTCCACCTCGGGCTCTACCATCTGCACACTTCAATGCTTAATCCCATTCACCAGCCCATTCGGCAGCTCCCCCATCGGGTCTTCCTTCTTCACATCCTCAGCCTTCAGTTCATGCTCCCCATCCTCTGTCATCTCCTCATCCTCGTCCTCATCATCTTCATCCTCATCCTTAACCGAAACACTCCCATCCTCGCCCTCGGCGCGCGCATCGGGCACAGTATCAGGACTCAAGCTCCACCCTTGCACCGCGCGCACCAAATCAACCGCCAACGACCCATTCTTCTGCAATGCTTTGTCCCAATGCTGCGGAATGCCATCACCCCGCAACACCAACCCTCTCGCGACAGCTGACACCAGCATCGCGCGCATCGCACTCCCCTCCTCCGTATTCGCGTACACATACTGCACGCGCCTCAAGCCCGGGTAGGTATCCGAGTCCGCATAGAACTTCTTCACGCTCGCCATCGTCTGCGCCTGCAGCTCGCGGGCGCGGAACTTGGTGTCGAGGAGGTAGAGGTCGTAGAGGATGTCGAGGTCTTTTTCCTCGACGGGGGTCGGGGTGTGGGCGCTGTAGAGCCAGCCGACGAAGGCCTGGAAGGGCTCGGGGTCTTCGTCGGGGAGGTTGTAGGTCTTGTCAGATGAGGAGGAAAAGGTCTTGGCGAAGAATTGGGCGCGAGCGCAGAGGAGCTTTTCGTGGATTGACCAGGAAACGGCGGGGCGGCCGACTTGGATGGTTATAAGGGAGGCGGTGAGAAGCCTAAGGATTGTTAGATAATATGGAGAGACAGGAAGTAGTAGAGGGTGTGAATTGGATTAAGAGGAATGTGAACAGTAACTGGTAATGGCAGGAAGACTTCCTTAACGGGTTAAAAGGTGTGTAATTGTGGTTGAATATAACTATGGAGACCAGATATATTTATTAAGCGGCTTTTCCTTTCCTTCGCCTATTGTGGATAGTAATTAGTGTAGTTTGTAAGAGCGGGTTTTAAAAAATGCAATATTGAATAAAAGACTTAAAAGCAATTCTTTGCAGTAAGTTAAATAGGTAGTTAAAGAAAATATAAATTGAATGAAGTTGCAGAAGGGCTGGGCGCTTCTTAACGGGTTCTATCCTAGCCCCTTCGCCTAAAAGCTGGCCAGCATAATAAAATAGCTGTGGAACCCATGCGCCCGCGCGGCACGTGTGGGCGACGTCATGATGCAGTCCGTCCCGCCCTATCCCTGCGGCCTCACGACACCCACCTGGGTTCCCCCCCGTGATAGACAAGTAGCTGGAGTGCGAGCAGCGAGAGCAGCCACACAGCGGGCGCGATAGATATTGGTTTGGCCGTAGCGTGGCGTTAAGGTTGGAAACTGGGATGTTCGCTGGCAGACGTAGGGCAGGTCGAGCCGTCGCGTTGCGTTGGGCTGCTGCTGCAGCTGAGCAAAGAATGGCTGTTGCCGCGACTTCTCCTTGTCCCATCGCCCTAGCACCGGGCACCTGCATCTAGTAATTGTTTCTTGCCACTGCAACTAAGGTAAACAGATTAGGATAAATAAGCGGGTTAGGATGGACAATCTTTCCGCTGTCTGCCAACTCTATTTCAACGTTCTGGGGCTGTTCTAGTCAACCTCCTTAAGCGACGTGACTAAGGTATTGGATTCTCTCCACAACTCCTACAACTACTCGGCCTTTTTCTGTCTAAACAATCAACCTATAATGCTAGGGGAGGGCTAATCGTACACCCCCTAACGAATAATCGTACACCCCCCAACGACTAATCGTACACCCCCTACCCCCCTGTCACTTCACCGCCTTCTAATTGGCTCGGAGGTCCGGCAGGAGGCCTCCGAACATTCACCTTTACGTCTATCTGCACGTGCATCTCTGCCGTACGTAAGGCCATACGTGAGGCTATACAAATCAGCATGGCTATATAGCCTCTCCATTTTGCGGCGCATTTTTTCCAGGTTGTGCAGCTGTATATATAGCCTTACGTATAGCCTCACGTACGGCTATATAGCCTTTCCAATTCGTATAGCCTCCGTACGGGCTCGCGTACGAGCTTATATATCACCACCTAGTCTAAGTCTAGGTCTAGAAGTGCCTACGTGCCTATAAGCATGCCAAACCTGTCAAAACCTCACCTTATTACGGCTCCTTTGCATTAAGCCTGGCCCCTTAGCATCGCCGCCTGCACCTACTCCTTATACTAATCCATATACGCCTTAGCCTCCCTTTTAAATTAATACTCTGCAGGCCCTAGAACGTTCCTACGGCTCTTCGGCCGGCTTAATAATTTAGCAGTGCCTACAGCGACACCTGCTGGACGCTGAGACCCTCCTAGACGTGCTTATAGAGCTGCAATCTGTCGTAGAATATCCGCACAGTTATCCTCTTGTTCCACCTGAGGTTGAGACTGAGCACTATCTTGCCTCTAAGCTCGTGCCTTTTTCCGTGGTACCTTATCCTTTGCACCAGGCGGCCGGCCGCGCTTCTTAGCCGTAGGTGCAGCCGTAGGTGTAGCCGTAGGCGCTGCTGTAGGCGCTGCTGTATGCGCTGCTGTATGCGCTGCTGTATGCGCTGCTGTATGCGCTGCTGTAGATGCTGCCGTAGGTGCTGCCGTAGGCTTAAGAAGGGCCGGATCAATTTAAGAAATATCAATACCAGTTCTAGCAGGTGTAGCCGTCGACTGAGGGGCATTCTGACGGACAGGGATGGCCGGAATTTGCTGTAAAGACGCTGGCAAGTGTCGTAGAGCTGTGCCTTGTTGTCCGTCCTGTTCACCTCCACGTCGAGCTGCTAAACCTGTACCCAAAGCAATCTCAAACCTTAATGGCTCTCTCTGTGTACTATTATACGTATAGTGGCCTCTCCTCTCAACAGCAGGGCGGCCCCGTCGACGCTCAACAACAGCAGGATCTTGTACTTCTTTAAATGGACCAAACGGAATAATTGGTTATTGTATACCTGGCCGAGCAAACTACTAATAGTGGTCTATCTCTTCCGGTTGTATATAGGGCACGGGATCTAGATAGTTTGCAAGCGCCTAATATAGATAATTGTATAGCTTATAATCGCATAGCATGCTGTATATATTTATAAACGTATAAGTACAGTTAAGAGGATTATATTTAGATAACTTAGCCTTCTTAAGTTGCTTTTTAAGGATAGTAAGAGCCTGCGGTGTAATTTTCTAGAATAGATTATAGAATTTAATTTCTTTAATATTATGCGGAGTTCTTATATACTACTTTACCTTATAGTTTTTAAATTTAGCCTTACTATTAAGAATAAGGTTCTAGATATTAAGTAGTATATTAAATAGATAGCTATTTAACACCTAGAGAAAGCCTTTAAGCTAGCTATACGCGCTTTTATTCTATAATATAATACTATAAGAAACTTAGTTAGCATTATACACCTAAATTTATATCTGCTAGACCTAAATCTTAATACTAAAGTATGCGAATTTAAAGCCTAAACTTTATAAGGGGTTTGCTAGTATATAAAATAACTAGCGCTAAAAAGGATAAAAAAATAGCTTAAAAACTAATTAAGAAATAGAATATAAGCAGATACTTATATTATTCTAAAATACTAAGCTTATTAAATATAGTAAGTAGCCTAGGCCTATTTATATAACTTCTACTCCTCTTCTATATATTATTATTATTAGGTTCTATTAGGCCGATTTAGCTCCCGTTAGGGTCCATGCGGCAGTGCTATCTAGGTTTTATTTACAAGGGGAAACCGTTCGCTCTATAGCGGTCGGGTGAAAACCTTGTTTTCTACAGTGTATAACGCCTTGCGTTCCTTTTGTTTCTGCGCGGCTGTGGGGGACGCGTGGCAGCTCTGTGAGCATCGCCACGGAGTAAGCCATCTTAATACATTCTCCAGGATCGATCCGGTGTCCGTAGGCCCTAGGTTCCAGGGTTGTACGGTGTCCAGAAGGTTAGTAAGGTCCGGGGTCCGCGTTAGGGCGCGCGTGCCCTTGCCGTACGCGCGTGCCCTTTTTCTCAAAAGCCAAGGTATTGAATTGAAGGACAATAGGAAATTGGGGGGGTTGCCCTGTTGCGGGCGTGCCTGTGGTTATACAATGTGCGTGCATGCATGTAGTTCTGTTCTTAGGGCGTGGCTATACGAGTCGGCTGGCTGTATAGCCAGCTTTTCCGTTGCCATTTCTCTAGCTATAGAGAGGTAGGGTAGGAGGTCTGTCTGGTGCAGGAACTATTGCGAAACGGCCTTATTTCCTTTGTGGTCTTTGTACAGCTGCATATATATTCTTGTTCTGGCCTTAAAGAACATATCGCCTCTGCCGTTGCAGTGTTGTTTACAGTGCATTACTACGTGCTTTGGAGACTGTGGTATATGCCCGCAGGGGCACGCGGGCGAAGGGTAATTGGGCACCCTTATGCGGTGCAGGTATGCGTTAAGCCCTATGTGTTCCGTTCGTAGGAGCGTGATAATTGAGCTCTCTGCTTTTATAAGCTTGTGGTGTTTGGTTGCCTGATTCTTGTTCCATTTCGTGTTAAGGGCCGGCGTAGGGGGGCCCCTTCGTTTCTTCCTGTGGGCCTCCTATTCGTCCCTCTACCTTTCCAGAATACATTTGCATTGCAGAGCTACGAGAGTTATATACAAAGTAGAGTTAGGCGTAGCCCTCCTGCCAGGACTCCCTACCACGGGCATGGCTTGCTAAACGCGTACCCCTATTCCGTGTGCATCTGATTTGCTCTATAAGCCTATCTCGCAGCTAGCCTCTGCCTCTTGATAGACCGACACGCGCATCCGTCCTTTCGGGCTACACAGATAGTGTTGTTGGCAAGGGTTTAATCCTTCCTCCGCTGCAGGTCCACCAAAAGTCAGAGCCCAGTAAAGGGGTGAGGTTCTTGGAGCTATCCGTCGTTGCTATTATACACCACGCCCCGCAGCTCTTTCGGTCCCAGCAGCTGTTTCGCGTTACCTGTATTATTCTTATAATAACAGGCCGACCGTGTCTTGCAGATAGAGGTATTGGCCCAACAGCGTGCCTAGTAGCTAGCTGTTGTCCTGATGGCAACCCAACGCCGTGCGGCTGCCATGCCTCCCGTCCACTAACCAAACTTGTTGTCCTCCCTTAGCCACTACCTGCATCTTTGTCCGTTCCAGCACTGCGTTAATACGTCCTCCCCCTGCTCCCGAGTCCGTTCCTAGCTCTCTGAGTTCCGGATTAACGTCGCCGCGGCCGAGTCGATATTAATGCAATGAGGATTAACATCGTCCAATGTGGTTAATAGTGCTAGGATTCTCCCTATCCTCGCTGTAAGCACAATCTCAGAATGGAACAAGTACAGTGGTGTCCTATCCTATTGCCAGGCCTTCTACTCCCACCAGCAAATGCAGGCGCCGGCTTATAGTCTAGGACGGTGAGCTCCTAGATGGCAATAGGTCGGGTGGTTCTTAAGAAAGTTCCACTGTTCGAATTTCTGTCTGTAGATGTCGAGTTTTAGTGGTGGCAGGCCGCTAAGACCCGTGAAAACTCTGCTATTCTGGCGGCGTTGAGGACGACGTCTTCAAAGACGACCTCTAGCCACGACGCAACGCCGCTGCACTAGTAATAAACGTGATTCTCACTCTCGTGTAAGCCTTGCGGTTTAAACGAGACGGAAAGGAACCCCCGTACGATAATACGGGTCGAATCACGATTTTGGTGTTCCTTCTTATTTAGGTTATACTAGCACTTTTAAAGCTATAGCAGTACTATATAATAGGAAGCGCATAGTATTAGTAAATAAAATAATTCGAGATAATCTTTCTAGTAAAATAAGGCCTACGGAAACCTATATAAAGCTACTAAAAAGGGGGGTAACTATTACTATTATAGATATTAAAAATAAGCAATAGATATACTAAAATAAGCTTCTTAATAGCCGTGCGCCTATACAGGCCCTTTTCTATATACTAGAAACCTCTGTATTCCCTATAGATAATAGCTATAGGAAGAAGTATATATATAACTATATAACCGACTAAAAAAGCTATATAAATTACCTTTTTTTTTATATATCTAAATTCTATTAAAATTCTATAGTTTAACTATAATATTATACTAATAAACTATATATATAAAACTAATAAGTTTAGTATACCCTTTTTATATATAACTGGCGTTATATATATAGGTAATAACTTTAAGATTATATATTA